AAGGCAGCCGGACCTGGTCGTCGAGTGCATGGAACTGTTTTACGGACACTCGACTTCCCGAACACCGGTCCCAAACAGATGAACGCTGGAACTCTATTTACCGAATAGCTAGAAGAGCGCTATTCGGTACTTTGGTGCATTCGACAGAGGGGCACGGACGCTGCTAGGAGCCAGAGGGATCCATTCGGTACTTTTCTTCATTTTTATGTTTTTCGAAAGTGACCGGCAAAACCCACCAAATTCGTGGAACAGTATAAAGGGGTGTTCTGAAAGTTGGGGAAAAAGTGATTTTTCAGCCCGGAGATAATTAAGTTACTATTTTATCAGACTAAATTATCTCCTGGGCTAGTGGAGGGAATTGTAGGTGTGTGTTAACATTTTACTGTTTATGATTGGTTATTGTTTGTCCCTCCCTGAGGGCTGTCCCCTTGCATAGGGATTTGCATAAAAGCTGTGTGCACCCATTAAAGGACAGTTCATTTTGCACCCTTCTTCTTGACTTCGGCTGATGTTTGGGGATTCGTGTGTTTCAGTGAGGGAATTATCTGGTGAGACTATTGGAATTACTATAGGATTTGTCTACCGTAATTACCGAACGGAGGGAAACTACCGAATGAGGTTTAAATATACTTGGTTTTCTTACACGGATGTTACAGAGCTGCAGTCTGGGCTCCCCTAATGTGAGTCTGGCAGTAAGGATGTTACCGAGCTGCAATATAGGCTCCCATAATGTGAGTCTGGCAGTACGGATGTTACCGAGCTGCAGTCTGGGCTCCTGTAATGTGAGGCTGGCAGTACGGATGTTACAGATATGGAGTCTGGGCTCCCCTAATGTAAGGCTGGCAGTATGGATGTAACTGAGCTGCAGTCTAGCTCCCCTAATGTGAGTCTGGAAGTAAGGATGTTACAGAGCTGCACCCTAATGTGAGGCTGGCAGTTTGGATGTTACGGAGCTGCAGTCTGGGCTCCCCTAATGTAAAGTTGGCAGCATGGATGTTAAAGCTGCAGTCTGGGCTCCACTAATGTGAGTCTGGTAGAACATTATCCGCTGGCATAGAAGGTAATCCAAAGTAAAGCGCTGGAAAAGAAGGCAATATCCCAAATCCCCCAGTAACCGGATGAAACACAGTTCAGGGAGTCAACTGACAATTTTATTCACGGCTCCAGGAGTCAACTGACAATTTTATTCACGGCTGTTAGCCTATGCATGCTCTCTATTCTAAAACACACAAATACATTTTTACACCAGGTTAACACAGCTATTTCAGACAACCTTTAAATGTTCTGCAATATGACCTAAAGTGGCTAGGTTTGCCACACGGTTGTTACAGAGCTGCAGTTTAGCTCCCCTAATGTGAGGCTGACAGTACGGATGTTACAGAGCTGCAGTCTAGGCTCCCCTAATTTGAGGTTGGCACTACGGATCTTATGGAGCTGCAATCTAGCTCCCCTAACATGAGGCTGGCAGTTCGGATGTTAAGGAGCTGCACTGTGGGCTCCCCTAATGTGAGGCTGGCAGTACGGATGTTACAGAGCTGCAGTGTTAGCCCCCCTTATGTGAGGCTGGAAGTATGGATGTTACAGAGATGCAGTCTGGGCTCCTCTAATGTAAGGCTGGCAGTGCGGATGTTACAGAGCTGCAGTCTGGGCTCCCCTAATATAAGGCTGACAGTACGGATGTTACAGAGCTACAGTCTGGCAGTACAGATATTATGGAACTGCAGTCTAGGCTCCCCTAATGTGAGGCTGGCAGTTGTTACATTGCTGCAGTCTGGGCTCCACTAATGTAAGACTGGCAGTGTGGATGTTACAGAGCTGCATTCTGGGCTCCCCTAATGTGAGGCTGGCAGTACGGATGTTACAGAGATGTAGTCTAGGTTCACCTAATGTGAGGCTGACAGTACAGCTGTTACAGAGATGCAGTCTGGGCTCCCCTAATGTGAGGCTGGCAGTACGGATGTTACAGAGATGTAGTCTAGGCTCACCTAATGTGAGGCTGACAGTACGGCTGTTACAGAGATGCAGTCTGGGCTCCCCTAATGTGAGGCTGGCAGTTGTTACAGATTTGCATTCTGGGCTCCCCTAATGAAAGGCTGGCAGTACGGAAATTACAGAACTGAAGTCTGGCTCCTCTAATGTAAGGCTGGCAGTACGGATGTTAAGGAGCTGCAGTCTGGGCTCCCCAAATGTGAGGCTGGCAGTACAAATGTAACTGATCTGTAATCTAGCTCCCCTACTGTGATACTGGCAGTACGGATGTTATGAAGCTGCAGTCTGGCTCCTCTAATGTAAGGCTGGCATTACAGATCTTACGGAGCTGCAGTCTAGGTTCCTCTAATTTGAGGCTGGCAGTGCAGATCTTAGGGAGCTGCAGTCAAGCTCCACTAATGTTAGGCTGGCAGTATGGATCTTACGGAGCTGCAGTCTAGGCTCCCCTAATTTTGGTGGCTGGCAGTGCGGATCTTAGGGAGCTGCAATCTCGCTCCCCTAACGTGAGACTGGCAGTACGGATGTTAAGGAGCTGCACTCTGGGCTCCCCTAATGTGAGGCTGGCAGTACGGATCTTACGGAGCTGCAGTCTAGCCTCCCCAAAGGAAAGGTTGGCAGTATGAATGTTACGGAGCTGCAGTATGGGCTCCCCTAATGTGAGTCTGGCAGTAATGATTATTACAGAGCTGCAGTTTAGCTCCCCTAATGTGAGGCTGAAAGAATGAATGTTATGGAGCTGCACTCTAGTCTCCCCTAATATGAGGTTGGCACTTCGGATCTTACGCAGCTGCAGTTTAGGTTCCCCTAATGTGAGGCTGGCTGTACGGATGTTACAGAGCTGCAGTCAGGGCTCCCCTTATATGAGTCTGAAAGAACGGATGTTATGGAGCTGCAGTCTAGGCTCCCCTAATGTGAGGCTGACAGTACAGATGTTACAGAGATGCAGTCTGGGCTCCATTAATGTAAGGCTGGCAGTATATATTTTACAGAGCTGCAGTTTGGGCTCTGCTAATGTAAGTCTGGCAGCACGGATGTTACAGAGCTGCAGTCCAGTTCCCCAAAGGCTGGCAGTACCAATGTTTCGCAGCTGCTTTCTGGGTTCCACGATGTGAGGCTAGCAATACAGATCACAGCCTCCATTTTAGAGTTTGTCTCCCTTCATTACAGGAATTCTCTGAAATGAGCCTTGGGAAAAAACGGAGTGGATTTCAGATTACTAGTGTCACCAGTGACTACCAACCATTGTCTCCGGTCTCCCCAATCTCTGCAGAACATTCTCTCTCCCCAACTCCCAATGGGCCATGTTCCCCACCTACGTCACGATTCCGGGTAGTGCGTTTGGACCATGACCCTGTTGCTGGAGGTCGCAGATACCAGAGGGGGCGTTGGTTATGT